CCCCCCGGCATCTCCAGTTAAAAAGACCAGGTAATAGGAGATGTAAAAGACCTCTGTCTGAGACACTGGAGAGGTGCTGCCAGTCTGAGTAGATAGTACTGACTTTGAGGAACCAGGGGTCCGATTCAGTACAAGGCAGATTCATGTGCATGCTCATGTGTGTTCAAAATGGATCCAGAAAATTTCCCTATAAGCAGTGTTCCCTCTAAGCTGAGTTAGTGTGAGCTAGCTCACAGTTTTTTAGCCTCCAGCTCACACATTTTTGTCTTCGCTCAGGAAGGATGGCTCCAGAGCAAACTAATTTATGCAGCAGCCAAATCGCTCGCTCACAACTTTAATGCCAGTAGCTCACAGAGTGGAATTTTTGCTCACAAGACTCCACAGCTTAGAGGGAACATTGCTAAGCGCTTTTTTCCCTCTCTTACATTTTCACTGCTTTTTTTCACCTAATGCAAACCTTCACCTGTTCACGGAGGATTGATTATATGAGAAAGTCCAATCTGTTTTGCAAGCCTATTTTTATTGCTAATAAAACAGGCAGATTTCCCAGTTTTATAGTCATGCATTACCCACCATCATTCTAGCTTAGTAGTCTCATTTATTTTCTGTACTAGTTTCTTTTATCCTCTAGCCGGTAGGGTTAGAAAAGGGGCCACAGCTCAGGGGAAGAGCATCTGCTTTGCATGCAGAAGATCCCAGGTTCAGTCCACGACATCTCCAGTTAAAAAGATCAGATACTAAGTGAGTGAAAGGCCTCGGCCTGAGACCCTGGAGAGCTGTTGCCACAGTCTGTTGTAGGCATTACTGACCTTGATGGACCAAGGGTCTGGTTCAATTTAAGGCAGCTTCATGTGTTCATGAGCTCTCTGGGTACTCAAATAGTGGGAGCAGCCAATCACGGACCACCTTGGAGAGCTGTTGCCAGTATGGGCAGACAACACTGACCTCGGAATACCAATGGTCTGAGTCGGTATAAGGCAGCTTCATGTGTTCATCTCCTTCTGCTGTGTTCCTCTCTCGAGTTCTGAACCAGTCTTCATCTTTTTTTAAAGGTAAAGGTTCCCTTGCTCGAAAGCCAGTCGAATCCGACTCTAGGGTTTCAAAGCCGAAGAGCCAGCGCTGTCCGAAGACGTTTCCGTGGTCATGTGGCCGGCAGGACTAAACACCAAGGCGCACGGAACGCTGTTACCTTCCCACCGAAGTGGTACCTATTTATCTACTTGCAATGTCTTGCTTTCAAACTGCTAGGTTGGCAGGAGCTGGAACTAGAGACGGGAGCTCACTCCATCATGCGGCACCCGGGTCTCGAACTGCTGAACTACCGACCTTCCACAGACTGCAGTTCAGCGTCTTAACCACTTGAGCCACCGCAGCTCCCATCTTTTTTACCAAGTTATTTATTTAAAACATCTGGAACCCTCACTTTCTCCTTCAATAGGGACCCAATGTGGGTTACAACAAAGTTTAAAACAAATGCATTTATAAGTGCAAAAGCCAGAAGTAATGGAAAGCTTGTGTCATATCCAGCTAAGCCCATTTGCCCTTTTACACAACTCCACTGAAAGCCACAGTAGAAGATTTTTAAATTTAAGCCCCCCCCCCCAGAAAAGCTCCATAGGTAGGGACTGCTACAGAAGAGTCTCAAGAGTCATGGCTGCTCTACTTTTCTGAGATGAAGGAATGAAAAGGAAATGCTTATATGGAGGAATGGAAAGGGAAGACCAAACCTCGTATACAAGTTCATAGAAGGAGAGGTGGTCCTTCAACCATGTGAGTCCCAGGTTGTGAAGGGTTTTAAAGGTATGTAATAGCACTGAACCTTGAAACAACTGGGCCGGCAGTGCAAAGATCTCAAAATCAGAATAATATGAAGGAAATGACTAACTTCGACCAATATTCAGGTTGCCACATTCAAGGGCAGCTCCATGTTGAGTGCATTACAGTAGTCCAGCCTACAGGTTATCATAGCATAGATGAACATGGCTAGATCAGCCAATTGCAGAAGGGAAGATGAAAGAAGCAAGGGGGGGACATTTTTTGGCCATCATACTAACTTACATTCAAACAGAAAAGCTGTTGATGCCCTTCATAAAAAGCACAGATATTGTTTTAATTACAATTCTGATTGAAACTGAAAACAAATACTACAACCCTGCCCATGTTAAACATTTTGAGACCCCATTGATATTAGCAAGACAGCTAAAATCTTAAAGCTCTCTAACTGAAATTGTGAAGTCCGATGCTTAACAAAATAGCCAGAGAGTGATTTCAGCAAAACTCAGGTTTATTTCAGCTCGACGATCACTTCTCTAACACGGTACAACCTCTGATAGCCCAAACAGCTTTTCCATTGCAACTGCTCGGTATTTAAACATTCCGGGCTAATGTAGCCACGCCTACTATACAGTTATCAACCTATCAGGTTGAGCGAATAAGGACCAATCAGAATCTTTCCCGCATATATACATTTGAACCTGATTGGTCGCATTAGTCTTGGACTTCAATCCCTGTTCAAGACGAAGCTTAACATTGCTTCCTTATGAGATGTTTCACATTACATCTTAACGTATTCATGGCAGCTTCTGAATACATTACAGAAATCAATAGAATTTTACAGTCCTTAGTTTGGGCTAGACAGTACCCAAAATATTGTGCCCTATTTTTTACACAAATTAAAATTCCATAGTTATTTGTCCTGAGGCATGCTTTGATTTTTTTTTTAAATTTACTACATTATTTGGTCTCATTTTAGAATACAAGGAGAGGTTTTTCATCATTCGGTCAGGAGGAAAAAAAAGATGAATTTAGGGTAAAATAAGGAATGAGAGACAATGGCTGCCTTTCAGCATTGTTAGTATGGGACTATTGTTTTGTAGGGGAAATGAGTGACATTTTATTTATTTATTTCATTCAGTTTGTATCCCCACCCTATCCTACAGGCAGGCTCAGGGTGGCTCACAACACATGATAAAAGAGTAAATAGTAATTCATAAAAACATCAAACCATTTTGTCCAAATAAATACTTAGATACTTAAATTAATACCTGATGGCAGCTTAACGGTTCCTAGCTACGGTGCATGCTGCAACAATGTCAGGGGGGGGCTATTTCTCTCAGCCTAACCCAAATCAGCTGATACTGGCATCAAGCGGGTGTCGGCAGTGCCCTAAGGCAACTGAGACAGATTGCACAATTTGAACAAATTGAGCAGATTAAGCATGGAAGGCCGATGATCTGTGGACACCCACTGCCTCAGCCAAAAACCTGGAAGAACAGTTGCATTTTGCAGGCCCTGCAGAAGTAGATAAAATCCCGCAGGGCCTGATCTCAACCAGAAGCATGTCTCACTGGGCAGGGCCCTGGTCAAGGCAAGGCATATGTCCTTCTGCCCGGGGATTACCAGGTGGTACTGTTCTGGTGGCACATACAGGAAGAGACATATGACCAAGGCCCATCACTGGAGTCCTGTCGCACAGCCTAAGCACTATTAAGTTCCCACCAGTTTCCATTCACACGTGCTTCAATGTCCCACTGAAATCCATGGGGGCATCAGCACTGCTTAGATCAAGGGTGTCAAACATATGGCCCATGGGCCAAATCTGGCTCCTGCAAGGCCCTAATCTAGACTGGGAGCAACTGGCTGTGTGCTGCTTCCTGCTTCCTGTTTCTAACATCGCAGCTCCTTTTCCCCAGTCTCTTCTATTTCCTGCTTCAGAGGAGAGAAAGAAAACCTTCCCTCGATTGTCTGAGGGCTCCTCCCCCATCCTCATCCAGGGAGGGGGGAGGAGAATAGTCAGAGAGATGGGGGGGAATGGCATCTTGTTGGACTTTTAAGAAGACCAGCAACATTTTATTCTAGGTATAACCACACTTTTTCTTCAGAGAGAGGGAGGGATCCAGACAGACAGAGGGAGCATGCCAGAGAGAGAGAGAGAGAGTCCTGTGTTTAAGACCAAAAAAAAAATTATTTCAGGTATGAGAGAGAGAAACAGAGAGAGGGTCTTGTGTTTAAGACCAAAAACATTTTATTCCAGATATGAGAGAGAGAGAGAGTCCTGTGTTTAAGACCAAAAAAAAAATTATTTCAGGTATGAGAGAGAGAAACAGAGAGAGGGTCTTGTGTTTAAGACCAAAAACATTTTATTCCAGATATGAGAGAGAGAGAGAGTCCTGTGTTTAATTTTTAATTTAATTTTAATTTAATTTACAGTTTATATAGAGCGGTTTACAGACAATTTTAGTTACCTATCTAGGGCCACATTAAGTAGGGGAGTAACTGCCTACCGGCACCCAGGCAGCAGAGTTCTGCTGTTATACGGCTCTTTCCAGGCGGGCTTCGGGTGTTATTCTTTCTCGGCGTTCCATCTTCTGGCGCCTTGGGACGGGTCTTAAGTCAGCGACTCCTTCTGGCGGACTCATCCTGTTTTATTCCACGTATTCCACGTTTTATTCCACGTATTCCACGTTTTATTCCACGTATTCCACGTTTTATTCCACGTATTCCACGTTTTATTCCACGTATTCCACGTTTTATTCCACGTATTCCACGTTTTATTCCACGTATAAGCTTTTGTGGCCAAGCACACTTCTTCAGAGAGAAAGAGAGGGAAGGAGGGGGAGGGAAGAAAGGGAGCAAGAATACAGCAGCACCTTAATGACTAACAAAATTTGTGGCAGGGCTGGAGCTTTCAGGAGTCACCGCTCACTTCTTCAGGTACAGCTAGAATGGGAGTCCATCTTGGAGAGTGAAGTGATTTCAGACACCAAAAGACAATAGCAGGCATTGGTAATAAGAGAAGAAACCTAGGTCCAGGAGTTTGCATTGTCTTGAGCTTCATGATCAGTTGCAACTCAGCAGTCTCTCTTTCTAATCTCCCTTTGAAATTCCTTTGTAAGAGAACTGCTACTCTTAGGCCCTGGTCACAAAGCAAAGTTGCAGTGGGAGAGGCACGGGAGTCCCACGGATTTTCCGGGCACGATCACACCCCAACATCTGGGAAGTGCAGTGTTCCCGTGGCGAACTAGTACTTACAAGGTACTGGTTTCCGGAAACCGCGGGCCAAGAGCGGGTGTCTGATCACGTTTTCGGTGGGCTTACGTGGCATCTGGCACCTGCCGCTGTTCGTTGCACACAAGGGGTTTTTTGTCTCCCAAATCTCCGCAGGTTGCGCAACAGCGCCCAACAGCGCATGCGCACAAAGAGCGATTGCTAGTGCGAACGCGCGGCGCGGCTTCTGTGCCGCACTGCAGGATACCCGTCTGGTCGGCATCTCCCCCCCTAACCAAAGGACCTCGACCGGGACATGTGCTCGGGCGGCCGCGACTTAGTTTCCTCCGGGGCAATTAGCCATGCCTCTCCCCCTCGCGATATCCGGTCCATGTGACCGGGGCCTTAGGTCAGCAACTGAATGTCCTGGAAGGTTAAAAATGTTCCCCGAATGGTTTTTGAATTCTGTGGTTTCTAATAGTCGTAGAAAGAGTAAGGATCCAGTAGCACCTTTAAAGACTTACAAAATTTTGGTAGGGTATGTGCTTTTAAAGGGCTGCGGTGGCTCAGTGGTTAAGATGCTGAACTGCAGACTGGAAGATCGGTAGTTCAGCGGTTCGAGACCCAAGTGCTGCAAGACGGAGTGAGCTCCCATCTCTGGTCCCAGCTCCTGCCAACTTAGCAGTTCAAAAGCAAGAAATTGCAAGTAGATAAATAGATACCGCTTCGGTGGGAAGGTAACAGTGTTCTGCGCGCCTTGGTGTATAGTCATGCCAGAGCGTATGCTTGCAGCTCACATTGCCTGTGGTTTAAAGGCGGGTCCCAGGTCTGGACAGATTGACCACTGATCTTTATCATATGCTAGGGATGCCAACCTGGAGATCTCCCAGTACTATGGTTGATCTCCAGATGAAAAAGATCAGTTCCCCTGGAGAAAATGGCTGCTTTGAAGGGCAGATTCTATGACATTATATGCAGTTGAGGTCCCTCCCCAGGCTCTACCCCAAAATCTCCAGGTATTTCCCAACCCAGAGCTGGCAATCTTAATCATATCAGATGTGAGACAATGAACAGAGAAAAATTATGCATATATCCCTTTGGTTCATTCATACTCATTGAGTCCGCATATAGAAACACAGGTGACAAGCAATTAGAACATGGGGCAGGGAGCAGAGGTTATTGAAGGAAGGCCAGGTGAAAAGGGCCTCAAAAGATTATTGTTGTGGTCAGGCAGGGTCATACAGCAGCAGGGGGTCCTTAAGATATACTGGACCCAAACCATATAGGGCTTTATGGGTCAGCACCTTGAATTGGTTCTGGAAACAAACTGGCGGCCAATGTTAAGACTTGAAACAAGTCAATGAATGTGCCTGTTTTGTTTTGTTGTTTTTTTGCAGCACTACTTGGGTTCTGTCTGAACGGCTTGACAATCGTCTCTTTCTACAAAATCAAAGAACTTCGGACTCCTGGGAACTTCCTGGTTTTCAATCTTGCATTATCTGACTGTGGGATCTGCATCAACGCGTTCATTGCTGCTTTCTCCAGTTTTCTGAGGTAGATCGGACTTCTGTTTTAACCATACATATATAAATGTGTGTGATTCTGATGGAGAACCATGCTCTACATATGGTCATGAGTCCTTTTCTTCTGCCGGTGGAGAGTGGGAGGGAGCTTCCCAGGAATGGGGGATGGGGTGACATTGCTGTGCACGATGTTTCTGGTGTGATGACATCATGTGGAGGTGACATCTCAGGGCTTTTTTTGTAGCAGGTACTCATTTGCATATTAAGTGACACACCCCTAATATAGCCAATCCTCCAAGAGCTTACAGTAGCTCCTGTAAGAAGAGCTCTGTAAGCTCTTGGAGGATTGGCTATATTAGGGGGGGTGGCCTAATATGCAAAGTAGTTCCTGCTAAAAGAGCCCTGGACATCATCATGCCAGGTCTGGTGTTTGGGGCAAAACTGTACAGTTACCGCTGGAGGCGGACTGGAGCCTGTGAAATCGAAGGATCCCCTGCTCCTGCTTGGGGGCTGGCAACCCTAGTCCCCAGCCGCCATGCCCTGCCCCCCAGCCACCGATCAGCTGGCTGGCAGGGGCACTTACTAGTAGAAACAGGAAGGCCTAAGACATGTTGCTGGCATCACACAGGAAGTGATGTTGTCATGGCTGCGACTTCCAGGTGATGCTCTGGTATCTGGGCAAAATACCAAAGTGTTGTCTGGGAGTCACTGGCACGATGATGTCACTTCCTGCGTGAGGCCAGTGATGTGGCCTGGGCCTTTCTTTTTCTCCTGGTATCTCCCCCTGCTAGTTGCCAGGAGGGACCTGGGAATCCTATCATACACACTACACAGTCTGGAAATCAGTAGGGTTGCCAGCCCTTCAGTGGGAGGGGGGAGCCCCTGCTTTCACAAGCTCATGCCCGCCACCATCCAGCTGAAGATATCCTGCCCATTCCCCCATACAGTATTTAACCAGTTGTTCCACAGGATATTGGATATCACCCCCTTTCCCTTCAGTAAACCCCACAATCTTTGACCAGTTCCGGACCATGCAGTCCAAAGGTCTTTTTGACTTTGGTTTGCTCCCACAGTTTCCCATGTTCCTTAGCAGACAGACACACACGCAGCCACATGAACAGAGACCAGAGAGTTTGTTTGGGGAACGGGCTGGGGTCCCTCCGCCAACCACAAAATGACCAGAAGGTCACTCAAGACTTCGCACTCTAGGAGAGATTTTCCATTCGAGAGGGGCAGTCCAACTGGAAGGACTGGCGAGGGCCCCGGTGGTGGCGGCAGGGAGTGACAGCGGAAAGTACTTCGTCTCTACCAGCTGAGCCCAATATGGGAGGGGCAACCGCTGAGGCAGCCCACAGGTGCCCCTTCTGGAGAGACCTTTCGATTCTGCAAACACGTTTACCCCAGTAAGGAAGCCCTTCTGGTTGGAGCACAGGATTCCTTTGTTGGCCCAAGAAGTACTGGGTCCGAAGCATGGAGGACTCAGACCACGACATGCGCTCAGACGCGTTTATTGTCCTTCACAACAAGACACACAAAACGGCTCTGCAAGGCCAACGATATACACTCCCCCCCGGCACACCTCTGTCGCCATTGGAGGGTTTGAATTTCCCGCCAAGGGTTCTACTGGTGGACTCCCGGTGGACTAGGATCCTAGGTCCCCTTTGTGTTTGGGACCAAGCTCTTGCGTTAGCCGCACACCCCTGGTGGCACTCCGCGTACATAACACCACGTGTGCCGTAAAACATCATGCTAAGTACCGGAGATATAAACTGCATAAAGGACAGCAGCTGGTAAGCTCCGAGTTGGTATATCTTCACTGCAAGGCCCCATGGACTGGGAGGGGGGTGCAAAGGAAAACCCACATGGGCAGACTGGAGAGCTAGTGGAGCATCACTGGGCAGACGCTCCCACGCTGCTTGACTGCTGCAGATGAGGTTGTTCCGCCATGTTGAAACCACATTCAGAGTGGCTCCGCCCACTCCCCCTGAGCAAACTCCTGTTCCTTCCCTTGCACTAGTAGCTTGTGGTTCCGGCCCCCGGGCCTAATGTTTGACACCCCCGCTCTATGGCATGAGATTCCCTCCCCTCCCCAAACTCTGCCCTCTCTAGACTCCACCCCCCGAATGCCCAGGAATTTCCCAACCCAAAGTTGGCAACCTTGTCCCAGGTGGAGGTCTTCCCCATCCCCTACTACCTGATCCTTTTAGAAAGTGACGCCTGGGATTGAATCTGGGACCTTCTGCACCAAAAAGCTGATGCTGTAAAACTGAGTCACAACAACCGGTGTTCCTGCTAAGCTGCGTGAGTGTGAGCTAGCTCACAAGGTTTTTTTAGCCTCCGGCTCACACATTTTTATTTCAGCTCAGGAAGGGATGGCTCCAGAGCAAATGGACTTACGCAGCAGCCAAATCGCCCGCTCACCACTTTAATGCCAGCAGCTCACAAAGTAGGATTTCTGCTCACATGACTCCACAACTTGGAGGGAACATTCAGCCCCTCCCCAGCAGACTTCCAGACTCCTTCCCAACCACTCCTTCCCAAACCCCTGTCTGCTGAGATAATTCAAGGGGAGGGCATTTGCAGGGAAGAACTGTAGGGGAGGAATGAATGCTTAACTCTTTAAAGGTAAAGGCTTCCCTTGCTCGAAAGCCAGTCGAATCCAACTCTAGGGCTCATCTCCGTTTCCAAGCCGAAGATCCAGCGCTGTCCAAAGATGTTTCCGTAGTCATGTGGCCAGCTTGACTAAACACCAAGGCACATAGAACACTGTTACCTTCCCACTGAAGCGGTACCTCTTTATCTACTTGCAATTTCTTGCTTTCAAACTGCTAGGTTGCAGGAGCTGGGGCCAGAGATGGGAGCTCACTCCGTCATGCGGCACACTCGGGTCTCAAACGGCTGGACTACAGACCTTCCGGTCTGCAGCTCAGCGTCTTAACCTCTGAGCCACCGCGGCCCCATTTAACTCTTTATTCATCCACTAATTCTTCCTGACATATCCCCCACACACTGGCCACTTACCCCCTAGCTGAAGGAGAGTCAGAAAGCTGTGGGAGGCATTTGCAGGGAGAATCCCACTTGCTGATTCCCCCTTGCCAAGGCCCCTCCTCCTCCTCCTCCCCACACTTTTAAGGCAGAATTCCCTGTAGAATTAAATGTCATGCACGCTCTGCAACCATCATTTTCTTTGCAACAACTAATCCTACTTTGAACCAATATGGGGACTTTTTTTCTCTCTTTCTCCCGCATGGAACACATCACATCTTTCCAGACTGAAAAGAAAATGCTTCATCGTTCAAAGAGCTGTCGATATGCTGCAAGGTGATGTGAAAGACCTTGATCTGGGACTCTGGCTCAGTGGATGAGCCTCTGCTTGGCATGCAGAAGGTCCCAGGTTCAATCCCTGGCATCTCCAGTTAGAAAGGACCAGGCAGTAGGGTGATGTGAAAGACCTTGATCTGGGACTCTGGCTCAGTGGAAGAGCCTCTGCTTGGCATGCAGAAGGTCCCAGGTTCAATCCCTGGCATCTCCAGTTAGAAAGGACCAGGCAGTAGGGTGATGTGAAAGACTTCTGCCTGAGACCCTGGAGAGCTGCTGCCAGTCTGAGTAGACAATACTGACCTTGATGGACTGAGGGTCTGATTCAGTAGAAGGCCCCTTCATGTGTGTTCATGTGTTGTCAAGGTTGTTCCCTTATTGCCTGAACATCTAGAGCAAGGGCGTCAAACATAAGCCCTGGGGGCCAGGACCAGCCCATCCAGGGCTCTTATCCAGCCCGTGAGCAACTGGTGAGCAACTGGAGGCTGCTCAGAGGGAGTGGGCGGAGCCACTCCAATTGTGACGTCAGCATGGTGGAACTCCCTGGTCTGCAGTAGTCAAGCAGAACCTGTTTGCTTCAGTGGTACGCTCGCTAGTAAGAGGGGAGCTACTGTAGCCGCATTCATGCTGGCTCAGGGTTCAGAGGCGAGGTTCCACACCTCTCTGTTCAGCCTGCAGCTCTGGGGATGCTGTCCTGGAGGGTCGTGGGGATTTGCACTTGCACTTGGGGGGTACAGAGGCCGCAGCAGAGGATCATCTGTACCCCCCTGGGGCCTCTGGCACACATGCAACCTTGTGTGGGTGGTGGCTTCCCCCTCAGACGATCTGGCAGCCTTCGGCCTGGGGCAGTTGCTGCCGCATGGGGTGGCGTGGCTTGCTGATAATCCCTGGCTTCGACCCACAGCATTGCCCCACAACGGATCCCCTGGCCGCCTTGGCTGAAGGCGGCCCCTGCCACGTGAGCATTTCCAGCTTATCAGGCTTTGCTTGGCCTGGGTTCCACTGTGCCTGTGGCCTTGGATCTGCGCCACTGCCTCCCCGTTTCTGCAGGTGGGGTTAGGTCAGTGACTTCCCGGCCCCCTTTCATGGTGGCTTGGGAGCAGGGGGGAGCTCGCAACACCCAGCCACTTCGTGTTCTTACCCCGGGGCCTGGGCTCACAGCATTGGCCACAGGAGCGGGCTGGGGAAGGAGTTTGCCGCGGGAGCCTCTGCCCAGCACTACACTGCCAGCTCTCCATGTGGGTTTTCCTCCGCACACATCCCCAGCCCATGGGGCATTGTAATGAGGACACGCCGACCTGGAGCTTACTACCTGCTGTCCTTTATAAAGTTGATATCTCTGGTACCTGGCATTCAATGCTCCCCCTAAGCTGTGGAGCATTGTGAGCAAAAATTCAACTTTGTGAGCTGCTGGCATTAAAGTTGTGAGCGAGCAATTTGGCTGCTGCATAACTTAGTCTGCTCTGGAGCCATCCTTCCTTTTTTTGGTAAACAAAGTTTTATTTTCATAGGAATTCGACATTTAACATTCAATCATTTACACTTTTCCATTGTTTACCCCATTCCCGTTTCCTCCCTTCCCCTCTGTGGCTTCCCGCAATGCTTCCCCCCCAACTCCACCTTGCTATACTTCATCCATTATATCATTTTCTTATCGTTACAATCTCAAGATAACATCATTTAACTTAATATTGATCTAAACATAATAAATTTTGTTTCACATCCCAGTTCTTTTCCAGATATATTTTAAGGTCACTCCATTCTTCAAAAAACACGTCGTCTTCTTTGTTATTCAACTTTTTTGTGATTTTATCCATTTCAGCCATGAACAGAACTTTTTGTATCCAGTCTTCAAGACAGAAGACAGAAATGTGTGAGCTGGAGGCTAAAAAACTGTGAGCTAGCTCGCACTAACTCAGCTTAGAGGGAACACTGCTGGCATTACATTTTATTGTGTACATGGCCCAGCTCATTTATGTCAGATCTGGCCCTCATAACAAATCAGTTCGACACCTAGATTCTAGAGGCCCAACTGTTTTCATTGGCATCTTTACAGACATTGGCCCTACGGCTCGGATGGTTGTCAGATGCATGGATTTCACGGATTTCTAATGTCACTGACCAGCATGAGTTCTGCAGCTGCAGTGGCCTGGGACCGATATCATCATTACTGCTCCAGTAAGTATTCCCGCCTGGTCTGTTCTTTGATTAATTAGGAATTAGGCTTGGCTTGATGTACATCAGGGGTCATTTTGTAGAAAAAGAGGTGGAGGAGCTCATTAGCATAGCTTATTTGCATAGCTTATTTGCATATGCCACACCCCCTGACATCACCGGAAGTGTGTCAGAAGGCAACACCCACCGCTCAGGCTCCACTGGACTGTTTTGGATTGCTAGTTATTTGGGGGGGGGAACGTGCAGATCTGCCCTCACAGAGGAGAGCTTGTACCTGAAGGCAGGCCGGGGAGTGCTCTAAAACTTACCTGGCTGCCTCTTGCTCCTCGTGGCCTGACTTGAGAGCTGCTGGGAGCAGGGGGTGGGGCTTGTTGCATGTGCCCGCCCCCTGGGCTACTTACTGCCGGAGCTCCGCTCCTGTGCGCTCCCACAGGAAATGACCCCTGATGTACATAAATGAAAAAGGTGCACAAGCGCAAAAAAAAATTATATGGAAATGGTGGTGGTGGTGGTAGAGAGTACAGTCAAGTCAGAGCCAGCTTTCAAGGCAAGAGATATTCAGAGGTGGTTTGCCATGGCCTGCCTTTGCAGAGCAGTGTTCTTTGGGGGTCTCCCACCCAAGTGCTAACCGGGACTGACCCCGCTCAGCTTCCGAGATCTGGACAAGTTTAGGCTAGTCTGGGCCAGCCAGATCAGAGGGATATATGGAAATACTGCAAATAATATATCTGGGGAGATGTTTGTGTCTTATAGTTCGTCATGGACAATAGGCACAATCCAGGCAACTATTCTGAAGTCTTTTGGGTGTCAACGGGAAAATGTAAGGGTATGAACATAAGAACATAAGAGACGCCAATGTTGGATCAGGCCAAAGGCCCATCCAGTCCAACACTCTGTGTCACACAGTGGCCAGAAATACCAGGTGCCATCAGGAGGTCCACCAGTGGGGCCAGGACATTAGAAGCCCTCCCACTGTTGACCCCCCCCCAAGCACCAAGAAGACAGAGCATCCCTTGCCCCAGAGCCCCTATCTATACCTTGTGGCTAATAGCCACTGATGGACCTCTGCTCCATATGCCTATCTAATTCCCTCTTGAAGCCGTCCATGCTTGTAGCTGCCACCACTTCCTGTGGCAGTGAATTCCAAGTGTTCATCACTCTTTGGGTGAAGAAGGACTTCCTTTCATCCGTTCTAACCGTATGCTCAAATCATTCCCATGAGGCTTTGAAAGGATTAACTTCAGTTGGATGGCATACATCTAAAGAATACCGTAAAAGGGTGTCCACTTGGAATCAGAAAAGGGCAATCCTCTCGCAAACACACAAAGATGACCAAAGATCATCAGGTGTCACCTAACCCGCGGAGGAAACATTTTCCAATGGCAGCATTGAAATGAATGGGAGTTGCACAAATAGATTTTGACTGAGGGCAGAACCTCTATCGAAATCTTGGTGTGCCCCCACTATTCCCCATAATCCTATTTTAAGAAATTGCTCCCTTCCACTCAGGTTTTTTTTTCTAATACTGCCGATATCCTGAAAGGGTGAAAGGATTGTAAGATGATCAGCAATGGATCGAGGTATTGTGAATATCTGGACGCAAGATAATGTCGTCTTGTGGATAGCAAGAAAACAGAAGGGACAAGCGCATTGTTGTGAAGGTGCTCTGTTACGTATCAACTGTTCTACTCCACCATGCATTAGGTAAAGGTAAAGGTTCCCTTGCTCGAAAGCCAGTCGAGTCCGACTCTAGCGTTGCGGTGCTCATCTCCGTTTCAAAGCCGAAGAGCCAGCGCTGTCCGAAGACGTTTCCGTGGTCATGTGGCCGGCATGACTAAACACCAAGGTGCACGGAACGCTGTGACCTTCCCACCGAAGTGGTACCTATTTATCTACTTGCAATTTCTTGCTTTCGAACTGCTAGGTTGGCAGGAGCTGGAGCTAGAGACGGGAGCTCACTCCGTCATGCAGCAACTCGGGTCTCGAACTGCTGAACTACCGACCTTCCACAGCCTGCAGTTCAGCGTCTTAACCACTTGAGCACCATGCATTACAATGCATTATAAGGGTTTTCCATTTACCCCTCTCATTTTGATACAGAATAAAGGCCAAATACGAGACCCTTTGTTATCCTAGGGAGATATTTTCTCATGATTGCCAACATGGCAGCTGGGTTCATATTTGAATCATTCAACCTCATGAGCAATGCTCCCTCTAAGCTGTGGAGTCTTGTGAGCAAAAATTCTACTTTGTAAGCTCCTGGCATTAAAGTGGTGAGCGAGCCATTTGGCTACTGCATAAATTAGTTTGCTCTGGAGCCCTCCTTCCTGAGCTAAGACAAAATGTGTGAGCAGGAAGCTAAAAAACTGTGAGCTAGCTCACACTAACTCAGCTTAGAGGGAACACTGCTCATGAGTAGGACATGATTGCATGGTTCTTTGTGCAGGAACCACCACCCCGGCTCTCCATCTCATACAAACTCAGGACCTGTGCAGTTGTACTTACACAATACAGAGGATTTGTGTGTCATCCCCAGCTATGCAGGGACCTCTCAAGAAAAACCAACCCTCCCATGAAAAACAGCACACTGTAGTGATTAGAGAACTGACCTCAGGGTGGAGAGACCCGGAGTTGAATCCCCACTGAGAATCAAAGCTTACTTGTAACTGTCAGCCAGCCACAGCTGTGCCCCTTATTTCACAGGGCTGTGGTGAGTATAAAAAGGAGGGGTGCCATGTCCATCAGGGAAGCCAGCATTGTATAAGCTGATGTCATCAGGTCTCAGCATCTAAGCAGGGTCAGCACTTGGGTGGGAGACCACCAAGGAAGGCCCAGCAGAGGAAGACAATGGCCAACCACCACTGCTTAATTGCTTGCCTTGGAAGCCCCTTGCCCGGGTCACCGTACGTCTAGGCTAAACAGGATTGGTACTTAGATGGGAAACCACCAAGGAAGTCCAAGCAGAGGAAGACAATGGCCAACCACCACTGCTTAATTACTTGCCTTGGAAGCCCCTTGCCGGGGTCACCATAAGTCTAAGCTAAACAGGATTGGTACTTGGATGGGAGACCACCAAGGAAGACCCAGCAGAGGAAGACAATGGCCAACCACCACTGCTTAATTACTTGCCTTGGAAGCCCCTTGCCGGGGTTACCATAAGTCTAAGCTAAACAGGATTGGTACTTGGATGGGAGACCACCAAGGAAGATTCTGCAGAGGAAACAAAGAACAGAGAAACAAAGAAAGCATGGCAACTAGCTGACAAGCAGTGGCCAACCACCACTGCTTTTCAGTTGCCTTGAAAGCCCCATGCTGGGGTCACCATAAGTCGGCTGCAACTTGATAGCACCTTCATATATACTGGTTTTTATTGCCCTGAACTGGATGGCCCAAGCTGACCAGATCTCAGAATCTATGCAGGGCCAGTGCTTAGACTGGAGCCCACCGAGGAAGACTCTGCCGAGGAAAGCAATGGCCAACCACCTCTGTTTCTCACTTGCCTTGAATGCCCCTTGTTCGGATAACCGTAGGTCATTTGCAACTTGACAACACATACATATATACATACCATGTACACTGCCTTTAGTTCTTAGGAGCAGGGCTTTTTTTGTAGACAAAGCCCAGCAGGAACTCATTAGCATATTAGGCCACACCCTGACAGCACCACTCATTAGCATATTAGGCCACACACCCCATGTTACCAGAAGTAACCTTTTGCTTCTTATTCTGTTTACCTTGTTTGTTGTCAAAATCCAGGGCTTTTTTTTTGTAGCAGGAACTCCTTTGCATGTTAGGCCACACAGCCCTAATGTAGCCAATCCTAATGAGTTTCTGCTGTTGGGTGTGGCCTATTATGCTAATGAGTTCCTGCTGGGTGTGGCCAACTCGGGAGCCAGCCGGAACTCCGTTCCTGTGCGTTCCTGCCCCAAAATAGCCCTGCTTAGGAGGAAAGGCAAGATGGGGAAAAGTAATGTAATAAAATATAATAGAGCTACCTATGGGTAGATGAGAAAGCAATCAAGGTTTGTTTAGGGTTTTTTTAAAAGAAACCATAATGAATTAATTGAAGCAAAGCAGCTTTAGAAAGCTTGTAAACCACGATTATTCCAAGCTGATACATAATTATCGGTATTGACCTGGAACTTCAGAGAGTAACAAAGAGATGTGTTAATCACTCTTGATATTTACAATATTGATACCTCCCGATATGTTAGGAAAAGTCATGCATTCGGATGACTAATCTCTAGATTTAAATGGATGAAACTGGGACATGAATCATCAAAAACACAATTTTCGATGCTGTCCTGTCTTAAGTAGTTAGCTTGAGTCATTCTAAACCCTTCCTGTATTGTGAAGGAACATCCAGTAGATACATCAAAAACAAGAGACGTGTCTTGCCTATTTTGCTTCCAGCAATGTTTTTCATGCCTCCCCCCAACGTGGCTGAACAGAAATTCCTCATTCTATCTTGTAAGCAACCATCAAACAAATCCCAGACCTTCTGCGACCAGAACTGAAATATTCTTGTCATTTGCGGGAGGGGGATGAACCCCATTCCACATTGGGGGGGAAAGAAACTCCTTTTCTCCTCTTTGCAGGAAGTAAGCTTCAGTGGAGCTCGGTCATCTCCATGACGATCTTTCTGTGGCTGTTTGCAGCCTTTTGGTCTGCAATGCCGCTTCTGGGGTGGGGCGAATATGACTACGAACCCCTCAGAACATGCTGCACATTGGACTACACCAAGGGAGACAGGTAAGGCACACCTGATGATTGTCACCGATGCATTTGTATAGCATTATGGCTTCTTGTAGTGAGCTACAGCGAGCCAAACCAAAGTTGGCAAAGAAATGTATATTTTCCATGGTAGCTGCACTACAGCCTACAAATAAATGTATGAAATGGCCTTATATTGAGTTGGATCATTGTTCTATCATTGAGGAACTCAAGTATTGTCCATTAAAATTTAAAAATAATTTCGTTTCTAAACAAGTTGTGTATTTGTTGTTTGAAATATTGCTTTTTGTCCCAAAAGAGGAGAAGTAAAGCAGCTTTCTTCGGTATCGGTAAAAGATGTTTCTTCATTCTTGTTTCAGAAATTTTGTCACGTACCTTATTCCTCTGGCCTTTTTCAATTTTGTGATCCCGGTTTTCATCATGCTAACAGCCTACCAATCTATAGATCACAAGTTCAAGAAAACTGGACAGCACAGGGTAAGAAACTTTTACCCAGCTCCCCCAAGTGCGATTCATTCAGAGTCTCTAAGTAGAGATTCAGACATTGTTTTAAGAACATAAGAGAAGCCATGCTGGATCAGATCAATGGTCTATCCAATCCAACACTCTGTGTCACACAGTGGCCAAAACCCAGGTGCCATCTGGAGGTCCACCAGTGACCAGAAGTCCAGAAAACCTCCCGCTGTTACCCCCCCCATAAGCACCAAGAATACAGAGCATTAGTGCCCCAAACATAATGTTCCATCTACACATTGTAGTTCAGGAGCTGCGGTGGCTCAAGTGGTTAAGACGCTGAACTGCAGGCTGTGGAAGGTCGGTAGTTCAGCAGTTCGAGACCCAAGTGTGCCGCATGACGGAGTGAGCTCCCGTCTCTAGTTCCAGCTCCTGCCAACCTAGCAGTTCGAAAGCAAGAAATTGCAAGTAGATAAATAGGGACCACTTCGGTGGGAAGGTAACAGCGTTCCATACGCCTTGGTGTTTAGTCATGCCAGCCACATGACCACGGAAACGTCTTTGGACAGCACTGGCTCTTCGGCTTTGAAACGGAGATGAGCACCGCAACCCTAGAGTCGGATTTGACTGGCTTTCGAGCAAGGGAACCTTTACCTTTACACATTGTAGCTAATAGCCACTGATGGACCTCTACTCCATATGTTTATCCAATGCCTTCTGGAAGGTGTCTTTGCTTGTAGCCACCACCACTTCCTGCAGCAGTGAATTCCACATGTTAATCACTCTATTTTTCTCCTTCACTCAAGCAACAATCTCCTTTAGCTTATCCATTGTGCTATCCAGAAGTAACGTTTGTTTTTAACTTGTTCCATTATCAAAGTTCTATCCAGTCAGTTTGAGATTAACATGAATTAAAACCAAAGGAAGGAGACTGTCAACAGTGAGGGACTCAGACTGGACCAGAAGCCACTTTGGAGGTTCCCATCGCTGGGACTCCCAAGATCAGGCTTTCCACTGGGGTGTACTTGGCTGCACTGTAATTAAAGAGGCACCGATATATTGTGGGAAATTCTCAAAGTGGGAGTCCAGTTCCCTGTAAGCACACGCACTGAAGTCAGTTTAGGGAGAGAGGCAGGTGTGTTCCACCCCATCATCCACCATTTTTGTGACTGCTGGACCCAGCGTTATTGCTGGAGAAGCAAATTAATGCAGCAGCAAAAAAACACAACAACAGGCTTTCTTCCAACTCAGCCTGGTTCGAAAGATAGCCCTGATATGGCAGGCCACCTGAATCCTTGCCGCAGTAACATCAAGACTAGACTACTGTAACACACTGTATATTGGTCTCCCTTCAAAATCAGTCTGGAAACTCCACTTGGTGCAGAATGGCACAGCTCGGCTATTACTGGGAGCTAGATGGAGAGTGCGTATTATTCCCAATCTGCAGTCACTTCACTGGCTGCCCATCAGTTATCGGGTTCAATTTAAAGTATTTGCTGTTACATACACAGCCCTTCATGGCCTTGGACCTTCATATCTGCGAGACCGTCTCTCCTCCAGTGCTCTGCCATGACAGCTTCGCTCATCCAAGCAGGGCCTTCTGCAGGTACCTACAGATGAGCAAGCTCAACAACTGGCCATACATACTGCCTTCTCTGTGGTGGCCCCCGCCGTGTGGAATTGCCTGCTTGAGGAGGTCAGCGAGGCTCCCACTCGCCTGGCTTTCCACAAACTGTGCAAAACCTAATTATTCAAAGGGGCTGTTCGATGCAAGGAAGTAGGATTCCACGGCACAAAATGATTCACGGTTGTTTGGATAGATTGTTAGGGACTATGGTCTATACAACTGTGTATAAAGGTAAAGGTTTCCCTTGCTCAAGAGCTAGTCGAATCTGACCCTAGGGGGCGGTGCTCATCTCTGTTTCCAAGCCAAAGAGCCAGCGCTGTCCGAAGACGTTTCCGTGGTCATGTGGCTGGCATGACTAAACAGCGAGGTGCACGGAATGCTGTTACCTTCCCACCGAAGGGGTACCTATTCATCTACTTGCAGTTTCTTGCTTTCAAACTGCTAGGTTGGCAGGAGCTGGGGCCAGAGACGGGAGCTCACTCCATCACACGGCACTCGGGTCTCAAACCGCCGAACTACAGACTGGTCTGTACCTCAGCGTCTTAACTTCTGAGCCACCATGGTCCTCACAATTCTGTATAGCCTGCTATAAATTGGATCCTACTAAGTAATTTTTGCATCATTTGATGTGTTGTGACAGTACTTATGCTTTGCTGCTGTTGTTGGATTTTCTGGTTGGTTCTAGAATCCTAATCCTACGACATCGTTTATTGAATGTCCCGTTCTGTTGATTGTAGTGACTCATTCCATGTAATCCACCTTCACTCCTCGTGAGAAAGGTGGACTATTCATAATGTAAATGAACACTAAAAAAAAATATTGCTCTCCTGTAGAAGTTCTATCGTAACTTAAAGAAGCAATTAATTATTTCTAGCAAACTGCTTCTTTCTGAAAATTATGTGCTAGTACTTGAGCTGCGGTGGCTCAAGTGGTTAAGACGCTGAACTGCAGGCAGTGGAAGGTCGGTAGTTCAGCAGTTCGAGACCCGGGTGCTGCATGACAGAGTGAGCTCCCGTCTCTAGTTCCAGCTCCTGCCAACCTAGCAGTTCGAAAGCAAGAAATTGCAAGAAGATAAACAGGTACCACTTCGGTGGGAAGGGAACAGCATTCCGTGTGCCTTGGTGTTTAGTCATGCCGGCCACATGACCACGGAAACGTCTTCGGACAGCGCTGGCTCTTCGGCTTTGAAACGGAGATGAGCACTGCAACCCTAGAGTCAGATTCGACTGGCTTTCGAGCAAGGGAACCTTTACCTTTACCTTACTGTACAAAACTTTATTTGCTTGAGACATCTGACTTGGTTCATAAATATGAATTAAAGGAATTTAATGCCTTATTCATTGTTCTTTCTTCCCAGTTTAATACTGGCTTGCCTGTGAAATCTTTGGTCATTTGTTGGGGCCCTTACTCGGTTTTATGCTTCTACGCCGCAGTTGAGAATGTGATGTTCATTTCACCCAAAATCCGAATGGTACGTAAAAAGTGTCAATTTCAGCATTCAAACGTAGCAACAAGCCACAGGTAACGCAAACCCTGTTTAACAAGGCAAATGCAAACCATGGTTTAGAGTCCCAGTATTTAGACAGGATTCCAGTATTTAGAATCCCAGTATTTAGACAGGACAAAAATGGGAACTGAAGAAGACTGTATTATATCCTGACATCTGAATGCAATCTAAGGAAATAATATGTAGGCCTTAAATACAATCCAACCCAAGTTAACCACTAGATTGCAGTCAAAGAACATAAATGGAAATACAGGCTATGCTAATGTCTTGCAGTCGAAGGCCAAAACAATGATGTATCTGTGCTGGCTCACATTCATCTCTTCTTCTCCATGCTCCTGTTGTCTTTCCAATTGTCTGTTTTACACTGTAACTTCCTTGAGACCTCTGTCTGTAGGATTACCAAAACTGCCTCTGCAAATGCCTGGGGAGGGCAGAGTGTTGGGAGGATATGATCTGGGTGCCAGTCTAGGCAGGATATGATCTGGGTGCCAGTCTAGGCTGCCTCTCCTAATCAATATGGTCTATACCATATCAGAATTCCTAGAGCATCACTGTGTGACAGCCATGTTTTTCTCCCGCTCCTCAATTCCTTAGGGGTGAGAAATTGGGACTGATGGAATATAAATGGGAGAGCTATCTCTGTGTTTACCTTTGAAACTCGAGAACAGGGGGGTCCCCTGTGTGGTGCCTAAGGGCCTTATGGTACCCACCAGCATCTTTCCTGGTGCCTACCAAGTGTTTATAGAAAGTGGGTGGGCCTTGGTCGAGCTTTAGCCCAGCAGGGCTTCTGATTGGCCACTGAAGATTTGATGGGCTGCTCTCCTAAGTTCTACACAAAAATAAGCTGCTCTCCTAAGTTCTACACAAGCTCCAAGCCTGTGATTCGTTGATGTAACCTCAAGATACCACCATGCGCCGATCCTAATCCTGTGTTCTTCCACGTGCTTCCCGATAGATTCCCGCCGTCATTGCTAAGATGTCACCTGCCGTGAACGCCCTCATCTATGCCTTGGGGAATGAGAACTACCGAGGGGGGATCTGGCAGTTCCTGACGGGGCAGAAGATTGACAAAGCTGAAGTGGATAACAAAACCAAATAACGTGTTAATGTAGCGAAGGAAGGGCCTCTTCGCAGATTACGTTTTTAGATGTATGTATGAAATTCTGTTCCAATGCATGTGCCTAAAATATGTGAATGTCCTGGTATTCTTGTCGGGGCCAAACCAGACCAGATGCTGGGTGCGCACTGTGCACCTATCGAGTCCCCAAATAGTATCGTTTTCTCCACCATGGGGCAAATAGCAGCTCCACAGGACTGTTTCCATTCACTAAACCATGCAGTGGTTTAAGATTAAACTCCTGTCCTGACAGAGCCCCGATATCCATCAGGACCATGTGCGACTATAATTCAGTTCTGAAACATCAACAGGGATCCATGATCTCTGTCTGATCTAGGTTGAACCTCAGGCAACTACACCAGTTTGGTGCGGTGGTTAAGAGCAGCGGACTCTAATCTGGAGAACCGGTTTGGATTCCGCACTCCTCCTCCACATGCAGCCAGCTGGTTGACCTTGGCTCAGCCACAGCTCTCTCAGAGCTGTTCTCTCAAGAGCAGTTCTCTCAGAGCTCTCTCAGCCCCACCTACCTCACAGGGTGTCTGTTGTGGGGAGAGGAAAGGAAGGAGATTGTAAGCCGCTCTGAGACACCGAGTGAAGGGTGGGGTATAAACCCAACTCTTCTTCTTCTATGTAGCCACCGGCAACTAGTGGCAGAAATAGGGTTGCCAGCTTCCAGGTGGTTCCTGGATATCTCCCGACAATACAAGTGATCTCCAGACAACAGAAATCAGTCCCCCTGGAGAAAATTGTAGGTTTGGGAGGTGAACTCTGTATCATTATACCCTGCTCAGGTCCCTCCCTTTCCCACACCCCTCCCTCCCCGGGTTTCACCCCCAAAATCCCCAGGAATTTCCCAACCCAGAGCTGGCAACCCTAAGCAGAAATCATGCGCATTTCTGATCAGCCATTCCGCGCTGGAAAAGTTCAGTATTGTCTGCAAGCATTTCCTGAATTACCGAGGGGGCTTCCTGCAGGTATACCTGGCAAGCCCATTTCCCAGTCTGTCGTGTGGCGCTTGCCCAGTGAATTGCCTCAAAACGCTGTGGACTGGCCTCGGCCTTGCCTCACGTTTGTCACCGCAAACCCGTCACGTGTCCTCAAGCACCCTACTCTCTGCAAGATGCCGCCGGGGGTGGGGGGGAGAGAAAATTAGGGACAACATCTAGAGAACCTAGCAAGGCCTAGCGGAAAAGGGTTCCTGCTTGTTCTGTACAGATGGCGTTCCCAGGCTATCGAGAGATTAAAGCCATAGCCGCTATTTATGCCGTGTGCTTGTGTCTGTGTTTTGTATTTGCATAAAATGCGTATGTGTGAAAGCACGGACCGTTTCTAAGCTTCTTTCCTCGTTTGTTTCAACTGGCACAGGATCAAAGGATGGACACCTCCAATCAGTTGTAACCCTGCCAAATATTCATAATTTTAATCGGTTGTCCAGTTTGGTGCAGTGTTTAAGTGCGCACGGACTCTAATCTGGGAGAACCAGGTTTGATTCCCCACTCCTCCACCTGGCTGGATGACCTTGGGCAAGCCATAGTTCTGTCAGAGCTGTTCTTGAAAAAGAGCAGTTTCTGTCAAGAGCTCTCTCAGCCCCACCTACCTCACAGGGTGTCTGTTGTGGGGAGGGGAAGGGAAAGGAGTTTGTCAGCCGCTCTGAGTCTCCTTTGGGTAGTGAAGGGTGGGGGATAAATCCAATCTCTTCTTCTTCTTCTACCTCACAGGGTGTCTGCTGTGGGGAGGGGAAGGGAAAGGAGTTTGTAAGCCGCTCTGAGACACCTTTTGGTAGTGAAGGGTGGGGTATAAATCCAATCTCTTCTTCTTCTTCTTCTTCTTCTATTACTGCCGTCTGCCTGGCGAGTTTTGATTTCTCCATTTCTCCTGTGATTGTGATTCTGAAGTGACTCTCTTCACTGTATTTAGCCTCACAACTACCAGTGTGGTTTTTAGGCACAATTGCATTTGTTTAACTAGAGCAACATTCAAGTCCAGTAGGGCTGCCAGGTTCTCCTGGCCTTCAGCGTGGGAGGTGGGGGGGAAGGTAAGGTTGCCAGCTCCAGGCTGGGAAATGCCTGGAGATTTGGGGATGGAGCCTGGGGAGGACAGGGGCCTCAGTGGGATACGAATGCCATCAGGTCCACCCTCCAGAGCATCCATTTTCTCCAGGGGAACTGATCTCTGTACATATTACATAAGAACATAAGGGAAGCCAACGTTGGATCAGGCCAAAGGCCCATCCAGTCCGACACTCTGTCACACAGTGGCCAAAAATGCCAGGTGACATCAGGAGGTCCACCAGTGGGGCCAGGACATTAGAAGCCCCCCCATTGTTGACCCCCACCAGGCACCAAGAATACAGAGCATCACTTGCCCCAGACCAAGAGTTCCTATCTAAACCTTGTGGCTAAGATCCACTGATGGACCTCTGCTCCATATGTTTATTTAATTCCCTCTTTTTTTGTTGTTGTTTTTAATCCCCTGAAGGCAGGGTAGTTTTATTAATTTTTGTTACACCTACGTGACTACAGAAAAAGAAAAAGGGAAGGGAAAGAAAAAAACCCCGGGGTACAGACAGTAAATAAAGAAACCCACACTATAACTAAAAACCCAAGAAAGGAAGGTCTTTTACAGTTAGTATACAGTTAGTCATAAAACTTAAAACTTTTCGTTTAAATCAATGAATTTAGGAGTTAGTAAGTCCATTTTAGTAATTGTCTATTTTCTTCTCAGTGTGCACAGAGTCTCTTTCATCCACTTCAGTTATAAATCTTTCAGTTCTTAAGAGCTACTTGGGTACTCTTAGCCGCAAGTCATACGTGTCTCTGGCCGTGCCTCCTTCTGCTCCCGCTGGGTCTCCGTCCGTCTCTTCCAGGCTGTCTGCAGGACCCCCTCCATCTGGCTGCTCTTCCTTTTTCGATCCAAAAAACTGCTTCAACCATTCTTCCACTTTAAACACAGAGTCAATTTTTTTTCTCTCTTATCCTTGTATTTAAACTGCACACCCTCCGGATAGAGCCAGGAATACTGAATCTGGTTGATCTGGAGTGTTGAAATGAGTTCTTTGTATGCTTTTCTTTTCTGTCGAACCTCAAATGGAGTGTCCTTTAGGACCCTAATAGTTGCTGATCCCAGCTGCAGGGGTTTGGCTGCTGTCGCTTTGAGAATATCATCTCTTGTCTGTCGTCAGAGAAACTTGACTACAATCTCGCCCGGCATGTTATTCTGCTTAATATATTTAGAATAGGATCGATATACCACTTTGATCTCTGCTTGCGCTTCAGCCGGTGCATTGCCGAGCGTCGATGCAATTAGCTCTGTCGCCACCTCCTTCAAGTTTTCTCCTGCCGTTTCAGCCACCCCTTGGAACCTGATAACTTTATTAGCTTTTTCCATCTGTAGATTCATTAGCCTTCTTTCTTGGAGATCTTGCCTTTGCTCCAACAGACCAACTTTCTTCATCATCTTTTTGGTATCGTGTGCTGTCTCTTTAAGCTTTTCATCGGTTTGAATCGACTTTTTCACGAGCTCGGCGATCTGCTGTTGCTGCTTTGCCATACTCTGGTTCGAAGCAGCCATCAATTGGTTAAGACCATTGAGTCTTTCGTTTATGGGCCGGAGCAGCTCCGTTAGCGTGGAGAAGACGTCTCCTTCTTCTACCCTCGGACTTTGACCACCTCGCCCAACTTTCGTTCCTTTTCCTCGGACGCCGGCCATTTTCAGCTTTGTTTACACTAAAGAGAGGCTTTTCACTCTCCTTCAGCAAGTGCAAACTTATCCGCAAAAAACAGCTAAGTCTTTGGCACACTTGAGCGCTTCTCGTTTCTCCTCCCCCCCTTCTCTTTAAAACACAGTTCGGTTTGTTTACGTCTGGGATTCCCCTTCGACGCCGCTATAGGTGGGGGGGGTGGAACTCACTTTTAGATCTTATTCGCTCGCCTTTTTCTCCTCTTCATTGACGGTCTGACCACAGACCTCTTTTAGTCACGCCTCATTCGCTGACCTTCTTGCTTGTCCCGGCCGGCATCAGCTATGCTCGGTAAAAACCGAGCCTCTCAGGGGGTGGACCGATTGGCGCAAAAAGGAGCGCCTCAATTCTCTGGCTTAAAGCCATCGAAGAGGTCGCCTATTTAATTCCCTCTTGAAGCCGTCCATGCTTGTAGCCGCCACCACCTCCTGTGGCAGTGAATTCCATGTGTGAATCACCCTTTGGGTGAAGAAGTACTTCCTTTTATCCGTTCTAACCCGACCGCTCTGCAGTTTCATGGAGTGCCCACGAGTTCTTGTATTGTGAGAAAGGGAGAAAAGGACTTCTTTCTCTACCTGCTCTATCCCATGCATAATCTTATAAACCTCGATCATGTCACCCCTCAGCCGTCGTTTCTCCAAGCTAAAGAGCCCCAAGCACTTTAACCTTTCTTCATAGGGAAAGTGTTCCAACCCTTTTATCATTCTAATTGCCCTTTTCTGCACTTCTTCCAATGCTATAATATCCTTTTTGAGGTGTGTTTATTTCATTATATTTATACCCCGCCCTCCCCGCAAGCGGGCTCAGGGCAGCTTACAACAAGGCACAAAGTGCATACAGTATAAAATAGGTAAAACAGTTAAATTCAGTTCAATCAGGATGCAAGAATAGAAAGATCTGAACATCTTGCATACCAGAAGGGGGAGGGCCGGGGCCGTAGATAGATGTTACTCAGCCCTCCGGCAAGTGGTGGCAGCTCCTACTCAAAAGCCTGGTGGAAGAGCTCCGTCTTACAGCCTAATGATGAGGTGTACTTCCAGGAGATTTCTCAGGTCCCACCTGCAGTAGGGTTGTCAGCCTCCAGGCAGGGCCTGGGGATCTCCCGCTTTTACAACTGATCTCCAGCTGACAGAGGTCAGCTCCCCCAGAGAAAATGGCTGCTTTGTAGGGTGGACTCTGTGGCATTGTACCCTGCTGACGCCCCTCCCCTTCCCAAACCCCACCCTCTCCTGGCTCCACCCCC